TTTTGAATGATTAAAAGAGAAGAAATAAAGTTTAAAATGTTCATGCTTTGTTCCGATGCATTTTAAATGGCAGTTTTTGGCGACAAATGTAGGCCTACGATATTATGTTAAAAACGTCAGCCACAGCCCTCAACATAATGACGTCACGTGTGTTTTCTAACCCAGCCATCAGCCCCCCTCGCTTGCAACAGCTTCTAGCACGCCTGCTCATGGTGCCTTCCTGGTGAGGTGTTCCAGGCACGTACCACCAGGAGGAGGCCCAGAGGGAGACCCAGGAACCGCTGGCTGGGGAGAGGGATGTCTGGGCATGGATGGATGGATGGATGGATGTTTTGAAAATATATTTTCCCTAAACCTCGTAATTTGGTGAAATATAAGTCAGACTTAAAGAAACTAGAGGCTTTTTTTGCTCTCTCTGTATCTTATTAATGGAAAAGATACAGCTGTCTTGTTGAGAACCTGTAACTGTAAATGTGGGCCCATTGGTATGAAGTGTAAAATCACGTCTCTGTTTGTATCTGGGATAATTAAAACTCACTGGTGCTTATTGATGTCATAGCATTTCTATCACGTTTTAATAAACACCAGCGGCTGTCTACCACAACCTACCTGCTGCTGATTGTAACAATTTCCATTTATTAACACAACAACCTCAGCTTCTGGTAATGTGTTGGGAGTGCAGGATAAGTCCTATTATAGAAATGTACCAGTCATTAACTGATGGTTGCTAATTAGCAGGTTGCCCTCCAGGAATATGTGGCTAACAAGAGCATTACAGCTGTTCTGTGAAGCAATAAATCATTCTTAAATAATGCACAGTCGTGCAGTAAGTCGACGTTTCAGGAAAGGTTTCATACTATTTAGTTTCGCCTGTGGGGCCACGACCCACAATAATATGATAATCAGACATTAAGTGAAACACAGCATTGGAATGATAGGTGCTTTGAGCATCACTGTTTCTGCTTTCTAAATGTGGTCTAGTCAGATTTACCCAAACTCCAAATTTGAGAAAAAAATGTAGAAAAATGCAGCAGCAGTAGCCTTAAGCTAACAGTTGTAGCATCAGTTAGCCAAGCAGTTATTAGCGTTAATTACAGGGTAGTTAGGGAACGCTGAGGCAGCTGCAGCTGTTGTTTATGAGCTTAGTTTTTTCTTTTTAAAGTGGGTAAAAGCGTCTTCTACCATGTTTATCACTTTACTAAGCTTTCTCTGTCAAAAACATCTGCTGCACCTTCTGCAGATTACTATTAAATGATGCGATACCCTTAAATGGTTTACTGGTTGCTTCAGTTATTTTTGTTACTTGGTTAAAAAAAATAAAACCGCTAGAACTTTTTGTTTTTTTAGCAGTGATTTCTTTTTAACCTCGCAATAATACTTTTTATTTTATAAGCATATATACGGAAGAGGATTAGGGCCACTGGAAAAAAAAAAAAAAGTTACTGTAACTGATTTTTTTTTTTATTTTAT